ATTTTTGAGAAGAAAGTTTTAAGCTTGGGGCTCGAAAATAACCTTGGGAAAGATTCATATTGTTGGAGAGATTCAGAGAGCAGTGAAGAATATAGGATTTGGATTAGAGATTTAAAAATAATGTCTAGATATTTTGGAACGAGCAAGAAAATTCCCATTTTAGGATGAAGGAAAAGGTAACATTTGGAGAGAATCTAAAATATATACTGTATTTTCATAACTCCTCTTACAAATGTAGTCATTTGGTTAACATTAGCAGTATTAAGATAAGCTATCTATAACTTGGTTTGTTCATAAATTTATTACATGTAGTATACAAAATATTCCAATCTTCACTATTTTGTCATTTTAAATTTTTTTTTATTTTTACAACTGGAAAAATACATACAACGTAAAATTTACCATCTTAACCATTTTCAGGTGTACAGTTCAGTGGTGTTAAGTGCGTTTACATTGTTGTGCAGCCATCACCACTGCCCGTCTTCACAACTCTTTCCATCTTTGAAGTTAAAACTGTGTCCATGAAAGAGTAACTCCCCATTCCCCTTCTCCCATCCCCTGGCAACCACTTTTGCAAATACATTTTACAGTCTATATAGTGTTCATTGTAGAAGAATTAGAAAATTTAAAAGAATAGGAACAGAGAACTATTAACATTTTGACATATACCTTAATGTCTTTTTTTCTCTGCATATACATATATGTAACTTTTTTTTACTATGCAGACTGGTTTATAGTCTGCCCCTTCACACTTAGTATATCTTCAATAGCTTTACATGTCAAATAAATGTCATGCTTTTTAATATTGAATGTCAATTTATTTAAATAACCCCCTTTGCATTTTTTCCAGTCTGTGAAGGGTTGGGGACAAAAGACAAAGTACAAACATAGACCTTTATAGGGCAATCCTCTGATTACCGATTACTTTTTTTTCCCATCCTCAATTATTTCTTGTCAACAAATACCATCTTTTTTTTTTTTTTTTTTTTTTGAGATAGACTCTTGCTCTGTCACTCAGGCTGGAGTGCAGTGGCGCGATCTCAGCTCACTGCAACCTCCACCTCCCAGGTTCCAGAGATCCTCCCACCTCAGCCTCCCAAGTAGCTTAGACTACAAGTGTGCACCTCCACACCCAGCTAATTTTTGTACTTTATTGTAGACACAGAGTCTCATCATGTTCCCCAGGCTATTCTTGAACTCCCGAGTTCAAGCAGTTCTCCCGTCTCAGTACTGCGGGATTACAGGCATAAGCCACCATGCCTAGCCTGAATTCCTTCTTTACTTTGAGGAAGATTTTCTCCATTTTTAGTCTTTTAATACATATTGCCAGATTGCCCTCAAGAAAGGTTGTATCAGGTAATACTTCCAGCAGCAGTGGATGAGCAGGCCTATTTCCAGACCTCCAGCAACCCTGTGAATTGTCCTTAAAGAAATAAAATTGAAATAATAGGTGGATGTGGTTTTCAAAATCGGGTAGTGGAGAAGGGTTTATAACGAAAAGGTATCGGCCCGCTTAGCCTGATCCAGCTCCTAGTCCTGCTCCCTGGAGACACTTTTAATACCTTCTGTGTTTATTTCCTCTGATGATTTACCTCCATCTCTCTACATAATAGGCTTACACTGCTAGTTTACACACACATCTGTTATTTACACACTATTTACTTCCTGCTGGTGAGATGAGGTTTTGGTTCTATTATACCACCCACTTCCTCCTCCGTACCCATTTTTTAAATTGTTATATTACCTTTTTACTTATATTTAAAACTCCCTGCAGTTAGCATGGGCAGTCCAGTTTCTCTTGACTGGCTTTAGTGAGCATTAAGGAATGGGACTCTTCTACTCTTTTCTTTCCTTCTCTACTTTTGGCTTTGATCAATTTTTTTTTCTTTTTCTCTCTCTCCTTTCTTTTACTTTCTTTCCCTCCCTTCTTCCTTTTCTCTTTGTATTTGTTTACATTTTGAAGATTGATAAAATTTACATTTCTTGTTTTGTAATCACATAGTTTGGCTTTCTATGCCTTGTCCAAAAGTTTACTCTAAAAGTTCAAAAGTCAATTAAGTGCTTCTATCATGGCTCCTTAAATGTAGTTCCTTGTGGAACTAAGTAACATGTTGATTACCACCTGATACAGTTGGTTCTGTGTCCCCATCAACTCTCATGTCAAATTGTAATCTCCAGTGTCGTAGGTGGGGCCTGGGGGGAGGTGGCTGGATCATGGGGGTGGTCTGTCATGAATGGTTTAGCACTATTCCCCTTGCTACTTGTATTAGTCCATTCTCGCACTGCTGTAAAGAACTACCTGAGACTAGGTAATTTATCAAGAAAAGAGGTTTAATTGGCTCATGATTCGACAGGCTCTACAGGAAGTGTGGCAGGGAAGGCCTCAGGAAACGTACACTCATGGCGGAAGGTGAAGGGGAAGCAGTCATGTCTTACATGGCCGGAGCAGGAGGAAGAGAGCAAAAAGGGAGGTGCTACACATTGTTCAATAACCGGATCTCGTGAGAACTCGCTAGCATGAGAACAGCAAGGGGGAAATCCACTCCCATGATCCAGTCGCCTCCCACCAGGCCCCTCGTCCAACACTGGGAATTACAATTCAACGTGAAATTTGGATGGGGACACAAATCCAAACCATACCAGTCCTGTTCTTGTGATGGTGAATGAGTGAGTTCTTCTGAGATCTGGTTGTTTAGAAGTGTGTAGCACCTTCCCCCCGCCCCCTCTTATTCCTGCTCCTTCCATGTAAGATGTGCCTGTTTCCTCTTCACCTTCTACCGTAATTGTAAGTTTCCTGAGGCCTCCCCAGAAGCCAGGCAGATGCCAGCATGATGCTTCCTCTACAACCTGTGGAGCTGCAAGCCAATTAAACTTTTTTTCTTTATGAATTACCAGTCTCAGGTATTTCTGTATAGCCATGTGAGAAAGGACAAATACACATCCCCTTCTCTGTGGATCCAATATCAAGATACCTATTCCTTATAAAGGAGAATTTTCTTAGTGCCAAGGCCAAATGGATTCTGTTTTCTTGCATTCTACAAAGTATTCAATCGTACGTGACTTTTCTTTGATTCATATTTGAATCATAACTTTCCTGGGCATATTTTTTTTTTTGCCTGCAATTTTATGGACTATCTTGTTTTTCCTGTCATGAGAATCATATGCCTTCATACCTTCCAATTTACTTATTCCATCTGTTATTTTGACTGCTTTCTTTATCTTGGAGCCCACTGAATTCTAATTTGGATAGTCTGCTTTCTAAGCTTCCTGCAGGTCTGACATCCGGGAATTTCTTCTTGCTGGACTTGGATTTAAGTCCATCATATCTTATTGAATTAGGTTTTTATCCTTATTTTTCTTGGAGTACATTCTCAAGAAACTTTCTCAGAAAGATACGTAACCTCCTAAATCGAAATCTGATTTAATTTTGCTTTTATATTTGACTGATAAGTTACCGTAATATGAATTTTTAGATTCAAGTGAATTTTCATTCAGAACTTTGGAATTGCTCTGTTATATGCTAGCATCGATTATTGCTGATAAATTCTGTTACTGGTTATTGTTACAGCTTGATAGTTTTTCCCTCTCTGAAAGCTTTTTAGGATCTCTCTGTTTTTCACTCTGCCCCTCACAGTTCAGGCCCTTTCAGTTTGAGGACTTTTGTGTCTCTTCAGCTCTATGAAAATTAATATTTCTCTTTATCTTTTTCTCCCTCTTTCTTAAAATTTTCCATTCTATTTTCCCTTTGTTTTCAGGAACTTCTATTCAATCATACATGACTTTATTTTGCAAGTCTCAGCAGAAAGTATTAGGCATTTTTTTTGGTTTTTAGTAAGTTTTCTCTGTGCTTAAATTAGTCAATTCTGCAGTAACATTGTTTTGAAAATGTGGATTTATCCCAACATTAGAGTAACCATGCCATTTTTTCCCCTCCTCTCTCTTGTCCCCTAATTCCCATGAGGTGACTTTCCTCTCCTCAGCTTAATTCTCTTTATTTAATATCCTTTCATTGCTGCTAAGGGATAGCTTTTGGTGACTGCTTTGCCATTTCAGACTTTTTCCCATGTCTCTACGTGGCAGATCCTGCCCAGCCTTCAAGGCTTGCCTATGCCCATTTCCTCCAGGAAGCCTTTCTCAATGACTCTCCAAACTATCTGTCTAGTGAGTATTTCTGTACTTAGGTTTATATACAGCTTAGTGTTATATGAAGAGCTTTAGGGAGAAGTCAATAATTGCTCTAGTGATTTGTGTGAACTATGTGCAATTTCAAGAACATCAAATAATTGCATTTTTACTCTGAATAAAACTAATCTTAAAATGTGTTCCTGGCCGGGTGCGGTGGCTCAAGCCTGTAATCCCAGCACTTTGGGAGGCCGAGACGGGCGGATCACGAGGTCAGGAGATTGAGACCATCCTGGCTAACACGGTGAAACCCCGTCTCTACTAAAAAATACAAAAAACTAGCCGGGCGAGGTGGTGGGCGCCTGTAGTCCCAGCTACTCCGGAGGCTGAGGCAGGAGAATGGCGTGAACCCGGGAGGCGAAGCTTGCAGTGAGCTGAGATCCGGCCACTGCACTCCAGCCTGGGCGACAGAGCGAGACTCCGTCTCAAAAAAAAAAAAAAAAAGTGTTCCTCTGCTGCAAGTATATTAAACTAGAATTGCATTGAAGTATAGTATAAGAAACCACCAGCTGGGTGCGGTGGCTCATGCCTGTAATCCCAACACTTTGGGAGGCCAAGGCGGGTGGATCACCTGAGGTCAGGAGTTTGAGACCAACCTGGCTAACATGGTGAAACCCCATCTCTACTAAAAATACAGCAATAAGCTGGGCATGGTGGCGGGCACCTGTAATCCCAGCTACTGGTGAGGCTGAGGCTAAAGCAGGATAATCACTTGAACCCAGGAGGCAGAGGCTGCAGTGAGCCGAGATCACGCCATTGCACTCCAGCCTGGATGACAGAGCAAAACACAGTCTCAAAAAAAAGAGAAAGAAGGAAAGAAACCACCACTTAGAATGAATGGCTTTAGATGGAGTTTGTTTCTGTTGAAAGTAAGTCCAGGCATAAGTGGTTGTTGGGGATGGAACAGTGAGTCAATAATGTCATGTCTACCATCTCCGCAATTCTCTGTGCCAATCCTTCATGGTTACAAGATGGTTGCTGCCACTCCTGCCATTACGTCAGCATTCAAAATAGGAAGAAGAGAAAGAGGCTGGCAGTTGAGTCTTACTCATTTTTATTAGGAAAGCAAAGCTTTCACAGAGGACTTTGCAGTATACTTCTGTTTTTGTCTCATGGCTGAAGACCTACTCCTAGTTTCAGGGGAAACTAGGACAGTATGGCTTTCTACCCTCTGTCGTGGGAGGCAGTGAAGAAGCAGAGGTGGAGATGAACTTTAGGAGAGCCAGCTAACAAGGTAACAGAGTCCGCCACAATGGGCAAGAGAAGGCATTAAAAGCAGTTGTGCCCAGGTGCGGCAGCTCACACCTGTAATCCCAGCACTTTGAGAGTCCGAGGCAGGTGGATCGCCTGAGGTCCGGAGTTCGAGTCTAGCCTGGCCAACATGGTGAAACCCCGTCTCTACTAAAAATACAAAAATTAGGCCAGGTGCTATGGCAGGTGCCTATAATCCCAGCTACTCGGGAGGCTGAGGCAGGAGAATTGCTTGAACCCGGGAGGCGGAGGTTGCAGTGAGCCGAGATTGCACTATTGCATTCCAGCCTGGGGGACAAGAGCGAGACTTCGTCTCAAAAAAAAAAAGAAAAAGAGAAATGTATTCATGATATTTTCTTATATTCTGTGTTATTCTGTCATGCGGGTCACACGGACCAGTTAGAGCTAGAAGCTCTAGCTGCTTTCTTGAGCTAGAAGACACCTTGCCTGAGAGCATATCTTGGATATTCAAAACCAACCCATCCATACCCCTACTCAGCTCTTTTTATCAGGACCCTGCAGCTCTGACCGCTTTCCTTGTGTCCTAAGTCATCCCAGGACCAAGTACTGGGCACTGAGGACCTTCCTATAGCCTTGAGTCCACCAAAATTATTAAAAGCTTCCAATCCCAAACCTGTTCAGCTTGCTTACCTTGCTTTACTAATTCCCTCCCACGAAAACCTCAGGAAAGGCTTTTGCTG